GTTCTATTAGACAAGCTTTAGTAGGGTTCTATTAGACATGCTTCAGTAGGGTTCTATTAGACATGCTTCAGTAGGGTTCTGTTAGACATGCTTCAGTAGGGTTCTATTAGACTAGGGTTTTATGGGACGTGTTTCCACTGACTTCCACACACACGTTTGTGTAGACAGCACTGTTTTATGTTAAATAATTAAATAGCGTAGAGTTCAGTGATACAGATTAGATATTTATACTTTGTTTGCACTAAAATACTGAAGTGCAGTCTGAGACGTTGTTAACCCTGTCAGTGCCGTGTTCTGATTAATTTAAGGTGAAGCTGTGATTCCTGTGTAGTCTAACAGCAGCTGTTTGGGCTATGTACCTATTTTCATTCATTGGTGCCGCTATACAGCCCTGGTACACATTATTAATGCATTGTTACTGGATATGTTTTGCACTAATGAATATACTTAAAGTGTAAGTAATTATGAAATGAGAAATATAAATATTATTGTTTTAGGAGTGACGAGTATTCAAAGCCCACAAAATGCAGTTCTGGCAAGCCTTATAGAAAATATTATAAAGATCCAGATGTAGCTTTACTAAAACTGTCATCCTGGAGAAACACAATAATAAACCAATATTATTTTTATGTTCTGAGTGGATTTTCTTTGATGTCTAATGTATGATTGCTTATAAAGTGCTAACACGGAACTGAAGGAACTTTGTTCTCTAACTCACAGGAGACAAATGTGACTATATATGCAGGAATGTAAAGCAGTCTTTTTATTGTGTTTCAGATCTCCTGCCCATGTCAGCTGGTGCGATTGTGGGTATAATCATTGCAGTGGTTTCATTGATTGCCATTGTGGCTGGCATCATTGTTTACAAATATAGAGGTAAGCACTAACTTTATTCACATCTTAGCAGAACACAGTATCATCACTCTCACACTGCAGGACAACAACTATAGAGTGTCTGTGTGTGACTGGATCAACAGACATGATGGACACAGGGACAGTTTGACTGACCAGCAGCATCACCAGACCTCAGTTCAGTGCTTAAGACAGAGGTGTAGTTCTTACCTGTCAGGACTGACACTGTTATTAAAATAAGGGGAGGAGTAACCAGGAATTAGAGAAGAAATGATGAATGCTGATTCTTTGTTCAGTGAGTTTTAGAGATGCTCTGAGATTTTGGTGATGGAAAAACGACAGAAAGCAGCACTTTGTTTCTGGACTAAAGAGAAAATAGAAGATTAAAAAATAAAAGATGAAATATGTTTATAATAGAGTTTATAATAGAGTTTATAATAGAGTTTCAAAATCAGTGACAAAATACAAAATAGTTTACATAGGAAAAGATGTTATAACCAACATAACCTTATTGTTCCTATAAAAGTGTCGTTGTATTTTAATAGTAGAGTATTCTTTCAAAACATATGGGCCAAAATTATTGGCCCCCTTTAAGGAATATTTTAAACTCTGTATTTAAGTTGTCTGAAATTACACACAGGGTTTAAAGCTCTCTTTGGAAACATTTAACAAAATAAAAGTGTACATCTTACAAACTACACTGTTGTAGAAACCTGAGGGTTTTTTAGTTAAAATATCTACAACGTTGATTCATTTATTAATTTCCGCATCATTAACATAATTATAACAAGCTGGGATGTAAATGTAACGCTGAAAGAGGTGAAGAGGCAGGATACGAATGTGCAGGTCCTTGTGTTTGTTGAAAACACTGAAGAAAACAAATCCACAAAGGCGACGAAACACACAGGTGATGAAGAGGCAGGACAGGAGAGGAGACAGAGACCAAAACAACAACAAAAGCACATGACGAGACACACGAGGGAAGGTAAACAAAGGCAGACACAGACTGAAACAAAGAAAGACAAGGAGAGGAAAGACAGGATGATACAGAACAACAACCTCCTTCAGAAAGAGATTTCAGAGTTACAGACATCCAAACCTGCATTTAATCTTCATTTGACATGAATGTGTTGATTGTTTGAAAAAATGTCTGAAGAAAAACTAAAATAAACAGGAATCCGCTAACTCGCTATGACATCTGGGCCGCTCCGCCTTGTGCTCTCTTATTGTTTGTCTTCATAATTTATCAGTAAGTTTTCATGACATTTGCACTCTGTATTCACATCACTTGAATTAGGAAGGGAAAACAGAAGGCTGAGACTGCAGTACAGAGTTCTGCACAAATAAAAAGTCAGAAATATGGGAACACTTCACATTCACATCATTTATGAAGACAGTGTCCTGTAAGGTGAGTTAAACTGAGCTCAGCTTTGACAGCAGAGTGACTGTCAGAGTGAGGATCCAGAGAAATACATTCACAGCTGAAAATGACTGGAGCTCAGCGCGGGGAGTAAAGCACAGTGACACTGTAGTCTAAATTAAATATGATGTGTCGTCTGCTTTTCATTGAGCTGTGTTTTAGTTTATCTCAGTAAACAGTGCTGACTGAAGCAGTGAGCTGTGTTTTAGTTTAGCTCAGTAAGCAGTGCTGACTGAAGCAGTGAGCAGTGTTTTAGTTTATCTCAGTAAACAGCGCTGACTGAAGCAGTGAGCTGTGTTTTAGTTTATGTCAGTAAACAGTGCTGACTGAAGCAGTGAGCTGTGTTTTTAGTTTATCTCAGTAAACAGTGCTGACTGAAGCAGTGAGCTGTGTTTTAGTTTGTCAGTAAACAGCGCCGACTGAAGCAGTGAGCTGTGTTTTAGTTTGTCAGTAAACAGCGCCGACTGAAGCAGTGAGCTGTGTTTTAGTTTATGTCAGTAAACAGTGCTGACTGAAGCAGTGAGCTGTGTTTTAGTTTATCTCAGTAAACCGTGCTGACTGAAGCAGTGAGCTGTGTTTTAGTTTATGTCAGTAAACAGTGCTGACTGAAGCAGTGAGCTGTGTTTTAGTTTATCTCAGTAAGCAGTGCTGACTGAAGCAGTGAGCTGTGTTTTAGTTTATGTCAGTAAACAGTGCTGACTGAAGCAGTGAGCTGTGTTTTAGTTTATGTCAGTAAACAGTGCTGACTGAAGCAGTGAGCTGTGTTTTAGTTTAGCTCAGTAAACAGTGCTGACTGAAGCAGTGAGCTGTGTTTTAGTTTATGTCAGTAAACAGCGCTGACTGAAGCAGTGAGCTGTGTTTTAGTTTATGTCAGTAAACAGTGCTGACTGAAGCAGTGAGCTGTGTTTTAGTTTATCTCAGTAAACAGCGCTGACTGAAGCAGTGAGCTGTGTTTTAGTTTATCTCAGTAAACAGCGCCGACTGAAGCAGTGAGCTGTGTTTTAGTTTATGTCAGTAAACAGTGCTGACTGAAGCAGTGAGCTGTGTTTTAGTTTATCTCAGTAAACAGCGCCGACTGAAGCAGTGAGCTGTGTTTTAGTTTAGCTCAGTAAACAGTGCCGACTGAAGCAGTGAGCTGTGTTTTAGTTTATGTCAGTAAACAGCGCCGACTGAAGCAGTGAGCTGTGTTTTAGTTTATCTCAGTAAACAGTGCTGACTGAAGCAGTGAGCTGTGTTTTAGTTTATCTCAGTAAACAGTGCTGACTGAAGCAGTGAGCTGTGTTTTAGTTTATCTCAGTAAACAGCGCCGACTGAAGCAGTGAGCTGTGTTTAGTTTATGTCAGTAAACAGTGCTGACTGAAGCAGTGAGCTGTGTTTTAGTTTATCTCAGTAAACAGCGCCGACTGAAGCAGTGAGCTGTGTTTTAGTTTATGTCAGTAAACAGCGCCGACTGAAGCAGTGAGCTGTGTTTTAGTTTATCTCAGTAAACAGCGCCGACTGAAGCAGTGAGCTGTGTTTTAGTTTATGTCAGTAAACAGCGCCGACTGAAGCAGTGAGCTGTGTTTTAGTTTATGTCAGTAAACAGTGCTGACTGAAGCAGTGAGCTGTGTTTTAGTTTATGTCAGTAAACAGCGCCGACTGAAGCAGTGAGCTGTGTTTTAGTTATCTCAGTAAACAGTGCTGACTGAAGCAGTGAGCTGTGTTTTAGTTTAGCTCAGTAAGCAGTGCTGACTGAAGCAGTGAGCTGTGTTTTAGTTTATGTCAGTAAGCAGTGCTGACTGAAGCAGTGAGCTGTGTTTTAGTTTATCTCAGTAAGCAGCGCCGACTGAAGCAGTGAGCTGTGTTTTAGTTTATCTCAGTAAACAGCGCCGACTGAAGCAGTGAGCTGTGTTTTAGTTTATGTCAGTAAACAGCGCCGACTGAAGCAGTGAGCTGTGTTTTAGTTTATGTCAGTAAACAGCGCCGACTGAAGCAGTGAGCTGTGTTTTAGTTTATGTCAGTAAACAGCGCCGACTGAAGCAGTGAGCTGTGTTTTAGTTTATGTCAGTAAACAGCGCCGACTGAAGCAGTGAGCTGTGTTTTAGTTTATCTCAGTAAGCAGTGCCGACTGAAGCAGTGAGCTGTGTTTTAGTTTATCTCAGTAAGCAGTGCTGACTGAAGCAGTGAGCTGTGTTTAGTTTATGTCAGTAATCAGTGCTGACTGAAGCAGTGAGCTGTGTTTTAGTTTATGTCAGTAAACAGTGCTGACTGAAGCAGTGAGCTGTGTTTTAGTTTATCTCAGTAAAGCAGTGCTGACTGAAGCAGTGAGCTGTGTTTTAGTTTATCTCAGTAAACAGTGCTGACTGAAGCAGTGAGCTGTGTTTTAGTTTAGCTCAGTAAAGCAGTGCTGACTGAAGCAGTGAGCTGTGTTTTAGTTTATGTCAGTAAGCAGTGCTGACTGAAGCAGTGAGCTGTGTTTTAGTTTATCTCAGTAAGCAGCGCCGACTGAAGCAGTGAGCTGTGTTTTAGTTTATCTCAGTAAACAGCGCCGACTGAAGCAGTGAGCTGTGTTTTAGTTTATGTCAGTAAACAGTGCTGACTGAAGCAGTGAGCTGTGTTTTAGTTTATCTCAGTAAGCAGTGCTGACTGAAGCAGTGAGCTGTGTTTTAGTTTATCTCAGTAAACAGTGCTGACTGAAGCAGTGAGCTGTGTTTTAGTTTAGCTCAGTAAGCAGTGCTGACTGAAGCAGTGAGCTGTGTTTTAGTTTATGTCAGTAAGCAGTGCTGACTGAAGCAGTGAGCTGTGTTTTAGTTTATCTCAGTAAGCAGCGCCGACTGAAGCAGTGAGCTGTGTTTTAGTTTATCTCAGTAAACAGCGCCGACTGAAGCAGTGAGCTGTGTTTTAGTTTATGTCAGTAAACAGCGCCGACTGAAGCAGTGAGCTGTGTTTTAGTTTATGTCAGTAAACAGCGCCGACTGAAGCAGTGAGCTGTGTTTTAGTTTATGTCAGTAAACAGCGCTGACTGAAGCAGTGAGCTGTGTTTTAGTTTATGTCAGTAAACAGTGCTGACTGAAGCAGTGAGCTGTGTTTTAGTTTATCTCAGTAAGCAGTGCTGACTGAAGCAGTGAGCTGTGTTTTAGTTTATCTCAGTAAGCAGTGCTGACTGAAGCAGTGAGCTGTGTTTTAGTTTATGTCAGTAAACAGTGCTGACTGAAGCAGTGAGCTGTGTTTTAGTTTATGTCAGTAAACAGTGCTGACTGAAGCAGTGAGCTGTGTTTTAGTTTATCTCAGTAAACAGCGCTGACTGAAGCAGTGAGCTGTGTTTTAGTTTATCAGTAAACAGTGCTGACTGAAGCAGTGAGCTGTGTTTTAGTTTAGCTCAGTAAACAGCGCTGACTGAAGCAGTGAGCTGTGTTTTAGTTTAGCTCAGTAAACAGCGCTGACTGAAGCAGTGAGCTGTGTTTTAGTTTATGTCAGTAAACAGCGCTGACTGAAGCAGTGAGCTGTGTTTTAGTTTATGTCAGTAAACAGCGCTGACTGAAGCAGTGAGCTGTGTTTTAGTTTATGTCAGTAAACAGCGCCGACTGAAGCAGTGAGCTGTGTTTTAGTTTATGTCAGTAAGCAG